AAAAAAAAACTTAAAATATAACAAACACGATTATTTAAAATTGACACGAAATATATTACAATAAGACGATTATTTAAAGTAATTTATGTATTTGTAAAATAAATATATAAACAAAATTTTCAAATAAATAAATTATTAAGAATAAAAAAAGAGAAGAAAATGATTAAACACTATTCATTTTTGGTGAGTTTTGGTGTAATGATTGGAGATATTTTTAGTTTGGTGCAAATTTTAGTGTAAAATGGTGCAAAACTTACCTCAAATTTTCGTGCAAGGTTGGATATGGTCTAAAGTTGAATCCGTAATCTGCTATGGATCAAAATGCAATTAAGCTTCCATTTGGCAAAATTTATAAAATGTTTAAAGATTGTCAAATTCCATTTTCACTCATACATTTCAACGTACTACAATTATTATTTAATTATCTATCATTCATTTCTATCTTTGACGCAGTTTGATGGCCATTATTTGAGAAACACAATATTTTGAATAGTGAGTTTTAGGAGAATGTGTGGTTTAAACGTATAATTTTTTTTTTGAATTTACGAATATAATATTTTATTGTGTGAACGTGTGTTTGAAAATGAGTATGTAGAAAAAATAATTTTCAAATAATGGTTGTCAAACAAAGACCACATAAATTCTTCCCGAATGGAGGCTAAAATAATATATACGAGTTCATTTTAAACTTTCGACGTTCAAAAACGTATTTTCCAAGATGACTTTAGGCAAAATTACTTATCGTTGCATTATTGTATAGAAAATAAAATGTAGACTTAGTCCTTATTTGATTTTGATTTTTTTAGAGGTGATTTTAAGTAGGGGTGGGCATGGGTCGAGTCAGATCGGTTTTTGCCTCAACTCAACCCAACTCAATCAAGTATCGTTCGAGTTGTGTTGGTCAGTTTGTGACAACTTATCAACAAAAATTAAAGTCATCCAATCGTCTATTATACTAAATTCGAATAGACAAGATTAAATAATAAATAAATAAATTATCTATTATCTTATTCAATTTTCATTAGCCGACATACAAAGTACAAAATGCATTTAACATAACATGAAAAAGTTATACTACATTTCGTGTAGGAAGGAGAGTAAACTCCTCCTCTAATATGCACCAAACACTATTCACTCATACTTTTTAGGTTCCTTTTACTTTTTAGGTATTTTATTTATTTATTTTTTAATTAGGTGGGTCGGGTTGGGCGGGTTTATTCGGTTTTCATGAGTTAACCCATAACCTGACTCGACCCGCATACACGGCTAACCCGCGTAAAAATAACAAAAAAATCAATTCAAACCGATCGGATTGGAAGATTTTGACGGGTTAGGTCGGATTTTGTCAATCCCTGATTTTAAGAAAAGTAATATTTTTGGAGAATATATAATTAAAATTCGAGAAAATTATTGTCTACGTGTATTCAAGAAACTGGAAGAGCCGCCCCTGGAAAACAGAAATTTCGTGGGTAAAAAGAAATCCACTTCCAAGCCCACCTTTTCTCCATCAAACCTAAACTTTTTCGCTGTACAGTCCACAGCACAGAATTCTCCTTGTTCAAACTCTCTGCCTAGTACTATATTCTATTTGAGTATTCACTGCAAAAAAATTCGACAAAAATGCATTCGAATCATCTGCTACTCGAAGAGCCGATCAGGATGGCTTCTATTCTAGAGCCATCCAAAGCCGTAAGTTATTATTTTTTTAATATGTAGATCCATGTTTACATGCGTATTTTCATAATTGATTTGGTTTTGGGAAATAATCTGGTGGGTTTTTGGATTGCAGAGTTTCTCCGCAATGACAAAGATTGTGGGAACACTGGGCCCTCGTTCTCGATCCGTTGAGGTTATCTCCGCTTGTCTTAAAGCTGGAATGTCTGGTAATTTAGTCTCTCTTGAATTTCATATGCCAGTTTAATTTCTGTGTACTTATTGTTTAATGTGTTTTGATATGTATGGGATGGGCAGTGGCTAGATTTGATTTTTCATGGGGTGACGCCGAGTATCATCAAGAGACTCTGGAGAATTTGAGGGCTGCTATTAAGAGCACTAAGAAGCTCTGTGCTGTACGTATTTTCATTCTGAATTTTAACTTAATAATGGTTGTTTTAAATAAATACGCTAATGATCGGGGTACACAAATTGGAAAAGGATGGACCTTGACGAACTGCTTCTGATTTCCATGTCTTCGAGCAACAGGCGAAAAGAAGTGAACGTTATAACTATGTATTTTTTGGGTCTGTTGATTTTTTTCTTTTCATGCGTGCATGCTTTATTAATTATTTATTGACTCTATTCGAAACAAAATTAAGAAAACAAGAAAGTCAAATTTCAAATTTTACATAAGTTTGTAGGAAAGAAATAAATGTAAAGGCAGAGTTGCTGCTTCAGTTTCTAGAATAGATATAAAGGTCATCTTACATAGTGTAGTATAAAGTAGACATTGTTGGTGGTTTCTAGGATTGACGAATATAATTCCAATTGTTTTCGATCCTTTTATTGTCTTTCAGCTGTGTTAATGGGATTACTTATTTCTGAATACCGGTGGAACTTAAAGCATGTTGGCTTTTAACGTTTGCAGGTTATGCTTGATACAGTGGGTCCTGAGTTACAGGTTGTTAATAAAAGCGAGAAAGCTATAACACTTAAAGCAGACGACAAGGTTATCCTGACACCAAATCAAGGTCAGGAAGCAACCTCAGAAGTTCTGCCCATCAACTTTGCTGGACTATCCAAGGTTCAAATTTCTACCTTTGACATGATTTCATTAATACTCCCCTTTTTGTTAGATTATTTCGTCGAGGAGTTAGATCAGCACGGATTTAAGGATTATTTTGCGTGTTATTGCTGTTAAAAAAAGATCATATAGTTCAAATTTCCAAATTCAGCTATCCAGAATGCCAGATATCTACATATTTGCTCGTGTTGGTCATAGTTATACAGCTTGTCAAAATATTTGAAGATATTAAATTGTTGGTTCTATTGAGATCTATGGTAGGGCCCCTTTTTTGAAAGTTGCATAGCAAATTCAGACATTAATTAATCCATGATGTAAGCTAATCCATCACCATGAAAAAAACTGCAGTTTACTAAGGCTTTTCTTCCAAAATAACCAACATTCTAGAGATTTTGTTCCCCCATTATTTTTAGTTCTGAAATTGCATGAATTAAGTTTCTATCGTTACATTTTTAAAAAGAGATCATCTCTTTTGCAGGCTGTGAAAAAGGGAGACACCATTTTTATTGGCCAATACCTGTTTACAGGAAGTGAGACCACTTCTGTTTGGCTGGAGGTATGAATCAGAGCAAATAAAAATTTGTACCTCAGAAATTTGTTTTCATCTATTCATTTATTTTCATTTTTGTGCTGTGGATTTCTGTTGTTCCTATGATTGTATTTGTACATGTTTTTTCTTTCTTGGTCCTATTCCATGTGTTGGTCTGGTTACTTGGTCAAGTAGGAAACCAAGCAGACAAAACAGCTAAATAATTTTGTTCTTCTTGCTGCGTTACAAGATGTTTTGATTTGGTTGGGGTAGGTGGATGAAGTGAAAAGCGAGGACGTGGTTTGCGTGATAAAGAATTCTGCAACCTTGGCTGGGTCATTATTTACTCTACACGCTTCTCAAATTCGCATCGATTTGCCAACTCTTTCTGATGAGGACAAGCAGGTGAGTAATATAATTAGCTGCACTTCTGTTGATATCTATATGCTTTCATTGTCTCATGCAGCTATTAGGAAGATGTGCTAGAGACTGATTGGGCACAGTAATTATGAGTAATTCAGTGGCTTGGGCATTGGGTTTCATCTTAGAAGCATGGATACAGGACACATAACAGGACACACCAACAGAATTTTTTCAAACAAGTAGGACATGAGATGCAAAGGACATTAAGTAAAGCCTTTATAGGCTATGACACACTCCCATTGTGGACAACTGAATGTGTTGATGTTTATTGGCACAGAGTTATTGAATTTTTTTATTTTTTTTTCCCATCATATATAATGGTGAAGAATTATTCATGTTATAATCAAGCCCCTTATTTTCTTTTAGAAATCAAAATCTTCCCAGTAGCTGTCCTTGAGCATGTAGTCATTGGTCCCAAATTAGCAATTTTTTCAGTGTGGCCTCTCATTTCGAATAAGACTTTGGGCCCGAAGAAATGTTGTTGCGTGGTGTATTTTTTAGCAGTGAAAGAACTTACAAATGGGAAAAGTGAGAAGAGTAACTGCTGAATTTTGATAGGAGTAAATGATGGGAATGATCCTTCATGCAGGGTGAATTTTTTCTTTTTCCAGTTCTTGCTCTTTACTTGGTGTTTGGTTCTTACATTGGCCTTTATCCAATTTAAACCATTGCTTTTGATCATATTTCAATATATATTTTTTCAGGCTATCATCACATGGGGTGTTCAAAATAAAATTGATTTTATTTCATTGTCATATACGCGTCACGCAGAAGACGTTCGTGAGGTAAAAAGGAGAAACATAGGAAAACTTCGTCGTTTACTTCCCTATGTATCTATTTAACATGTTATCTTCTTTTGATTTTCGGGATTCCTAAGTACTGAAAACAATTGGATTTGATTGGACTAAAATGCAGGCCCGTGAGTTTCTATCCAAGCTTGGCGATCTAAGTCAGACTCAAATTTTTGCTAAAATTGAAAACGTTGAGGTGAATTTTATCTATCAGTACATCTGCCCCCCTCTCTATCCCTCTCTCCCATTTTTAATTGAGACCCACAGCTTTTCTGCACTGTATTTGATGTTATTTTGTCAGCTTGTTCCTATGCAAACTTCAGAATTTATTCTTTGTCAACCCCATCTTTCTAGGGTTTAACCCATTTTGACGAGATCCTACAAGAGGCAGATGGTATCATACTTTCACGTGGAAACCTTGGCATAGATCTCCCACCTGAGAAGGTTAGCTCTTATGATGCATGAAAAAAATCAATACACAATCGATATCCGTATGATTTTATCCACTTGCACATGCAAAATTGCTTGTCTTATAGTACGTTTTTGCATTCATATTATCACCTTGCATTTTAGGAATCATTACATTGAAGTGAGATATCTGTTTGTTGAGCGTGTACGTGTTAATTGTTGCTGTTTTTTGGAGATAACTATCATAAACGGCTTGCTGGTTTGGTTCATAAATTTCTACATGCTGATTTTAATTTTCAATGACTACCTAAACTAGGAGTATGTTTGGTAGTGTTTGATAAGCTGTGGATCCTATAGAATGTATGGTTAATAAATGGGTAGTAGTTCTGGATCCTATGAAATGCATGGATGAAAAGTATGTTTCACTATTTTAGATAGTAATTTGAAATTCATCTTTGCATAATTGTGTTTTTTGGTAACTTTTGAATTATATTTGATGTCTCAACGAGGAAGATTTTTTTATTATAATCTTATGGAGTTGGCACGCTGGCTCTACTTTTGAGAATGAGACTAAATATAAACTACAATGGCCAACATAGTCACAATCATCATTGTCATTGTTTTTATATTATTCTTCTATCCAGGAACTTTGCCACAAGCTTCTTTTTGTATTCGCAGGTGTTCTTGTTTCAGAAGTCTGCTGTTTACAAGTGTAACATGGCTGGAAAGCCAGCGGTTGTAACTCGTGTGGTTGATAGCATGACTGACAATCTTAGGCCTACTCGTGCAGAAGCAACTGATGTTGCTAATGCTGTTTTGGATGGTAAGTTACTGTGTATCTTTTAACTTAGGCCCCTTTGTAATTGCAGCTTTTTTTTTTTCCAAAATATCGTGTTTTAGTATGTAATCTTTATTCCCTGTTTTTCATGTTTTGTATAATAGAAGTTTGTTAAAATTGTGTATAGTTTAAGATATCAACCACTGAACAACAACGGCATTATTTTTCTTCTCCAATAATTTCAGGATGTGATGCAATACTTCTTGGGGCTGAAACATTACGTGGATTATATCCTATTGAGACTATTTCTATTGTTGGCAAAATTTGTGCTGAGGTAAGGACATGAAATTTAACAAGATACTCTCCTTTTTGAAATGTGTCTTCTGATTTATGTCAATTCAGTGGTTTTATAATGCCTGCAACTTTTTCTTCTTTCAATTTTTTTCCCTTTTCCTTCATTTGTAACATCATACTTGTTTTCCCTTCAATTTATTTTAATCACTAATCCGCAATATGTTTACTTTGGACTTCTAATTGGAATTTAATATATGCCCTATTTGGGGTATATATGTCATATTGTTCTTTAGGATACACAATCTTGAACTTCCATACTACGCTAGCATATCTAACATCTTTTAGCTAATAATTTCATTGCAGGAGGCCTGTTTTTATGTGTGAATAAATAATGCATATGCATATGTAAAAAAAGGTATATGGATGAATGATTGCTGAAGTTGTCGATCTCTAGTCTTTTTGTAATGCATGAATATTGTTCTTAAAATCTTTATATTGTCTCAAAAGTTCGTTTACTATGTTCTGTTCTTCACTAGTTTAGAGGAGTTGGGTTCCCATGGGATGTGTGTTTCTAATCTTTTTCACTACTTGCATGAAGTTGTTGTTCTTGTGTTTAATATATAAATTGTCCATTATTAGCCTGAGCATACATCTCCAGATAAGCATGAAAACATGATGGTATTTTCTTATGTGTACACTTTCATTCAGTGGGGATGTTTTCTTTGTAATATGTAATATTCAAGGATCAATTAGCGTAACATAGGCTTTGTCTAAAAATTGTATGAAGGCAGAGAAGGTTTCCAATCAAGACCAGTACTTCAAGAAGACAGTGAAATATGTTGGAGAGCCCATGAGCCACTTGGAATCTATTGCTTCATCTGCGGTACTACATTTTTTTTACACTTCACACATCTGACAGAAATTTAAGAAAAGTGAAAAAGAAGATAAAATGACTTGGACTATTTTGAATTTTTGCGTGTTCTCTTTTAAAGTATTTGTCAATGCCAACTAGGATTTAAAACTCTTTTCTAATTTTGTCTAGGTGCGAGCAGCTATCAAGGTGAAGGCATCTGTTATCATTTGTTTTACTTCATCGGGGAGGGCTGCAAGGTATAATATTCACAAATGCTTATCCAATAAATAGTTATCAAGTGTTCTTTACTTTGCTGGATCTCATATGACTAAAATCGATATACCCGTCAATACAGATTGATAGCGAAGTACAGGCCAACAATGCCAGTTCTCTCAGTTGTAATCCCTCGGCTCAAAACAAATCAATTGAAATGGACTTTTACTGGTGCATTTGAGGTATACCTACGACCCTAATCCAATATAATATTCGGATATAAAAATTATCCCAACATAATTTATTAGACGCGTTTTATAAACCTTGACAAGTACCTTTGTAATACGACTCAGTTTTATTGGCTCCAATTTAAGCTACATCAGCCTGTATCTTGTGTCCTTGATTCTTTAGCATTCAGGTTTGAACTAGATCAAATATTTAATCATGCTATATATATATACATATCATTGTTAAAAAAATAAAGTAAGTGTTTCTTGGCATTTGTCTTTTCTTCTTAATGCTATCTCACATTTAAATCCAGGTTCAGAGTTTGGAATTCACTAAAACCTTGTCTAATACCTCGTCATTGTTAAAAGAATATATTAACGTGTGTTTGCCTACTTATTCAAAATACAATTACTGATAAAATTTGTTGAAATTTCCCCTTATGCAATAGTGTCATCTACCTGGTCTTTACGCTGATTGATCTTTTCTGCATGTTCAGGCAAGACAATCACTTATTGTTAGAGGTCTTTTCCCTTTGCTAGCTGATCCTCGTCATCCGGTAAGTTCTGTGGTTGTTACTGCATAATACCTTTCTAGTTAGAATATGGTCAAGTAATTTGTGGAAATATATTCATAATAATGTAGTTGTCATATATCTTGGCTTCTACCTAACTATATGCTTATTTCAAGAAGACATTTGAATCTCTTTCTCGATTGTTTCATTTTGAAATTGCTCTGGACAGCTTAAATAAAGTGGTAATAAGGCATCTATACATTGTCTAGTAATTTGTTTCTTCCTGTGCATAGTTGTACTAAATTATGGAATCGCATATTTTGTATCCATTGTACTTTGTCATTGGTTGCTTGGCCTTCATTATAATTATAATGTTGTGGGCATTGGGTATCGTTTCTGCTAGATATATTTTGAAACCCTTTTATCTTTGGTCTTAGATTTTGGATTATATGCAAGTACGGGGAACCTTGTGTTTATGGAATTATGTTGTCGCTCTTTATATTCAAATCTATTGACTACCACCGTAATTTCCTTCTGATGTAGTATGAGCCTTTATATGGATTGAACGGTTCTGTATTTAGAATACTAACTTCAAGCTTACACTGCAGTTTGCTGTGTCATGTTCTACTCGTGATTTTTTAGACATTGACCTTGATTTCGATTGAAATTAATATTTCTTCATGTTTCAGGCCGAGTCTACAAGTGCAATTAACGAGTCAGTTCTGAAAGTTGCACTTGACCATGGAAAGGCCTCTGGAGTTATCAAGTCACACGACCGAATTGTGGTCTGCCAAAAAGTTGGAGATGCTTCTGTAGTCAAGATTATCGAGCTCGAGGATTAATTTAATTATTGCCTGATTTTTTTGGAATTCGGTGGATGAATACTAGTGACCATCAGTGTGGCATTTGAACCAAGTGGTTTTGAGAACCATCTCATCATAGTATCAGATACAATCTCAATGTATATTGGGTTATTCCTTTTGATGGGAATTGATGTCCCCCAATTTTCTGTCGGCGAAGAACGGATTTGCTGTAATATTTAGGGAGATGCAGTCTTCATTTTGAAAGTTGCTGTGGGTGAATAATTCTGCTATCCCTTTTGCTGCAATTAAGTACTTATTTACTTTTTATATGCCCTTCCATACTTTTAAATAAGCAAAAAATAAAACAAACATAAAATTTCAACGAAATATTTGTCTTCATTTCAAAGCACATTAACAGAATGGGATATGTTACATGTACATCATATTTTACCTAATCTTTTACACTCAACTTACACCAAAAGGTGGAGACCACGAGCCGACTTTTTTAATACACATGGGGGCCACGTTTTTTGTGAGGGGGTACAAAATTCGGTACCTCCCTTTTCGGTACAAGGGGATAAACTCTTAACAGAATACTTGAATATAAACAGTAATCGGATACAAGATGTGCTATTTTATTAATGATTAATTCATATGTACAGAAGAAATTTGCAAAGAAGTTTTACACCCATTCGCATGTGTGGAGCCCACCAGAATAAAAAAATGAAAAAGAAAAACCCGCCCCCTGCGCATTTGTGAGTGTCCTGTGAAACTAACTACCCCACCCCCTTTCTGTAATTGTAGCGTAACTCTTTTATTAATGTTAAATGTTGCAAAGAAAGAGCATAATTGCGAAAAGTTAAAATAATCATTCATTCCGTTTGACAAAGTCACAAATTACAAATGCATTTATCTAAGGTGGGATAAGTCGGTCAGGTTCGTTATGGGTAAAATCAATTTGGACCAAACTGGAACAATTTTTATTTTTAAACCTTTATTAATATTGTTATGTATGAGGAGCACATAGGAGCGCCCATGGCCTAATGGATAAGGCGTCTGACTTCTAATCAGGCGATTGTGGGTTCGAGTCCCACTGGGCGTGTCTCTTCATTTTAATTGTTTTGCTTTAATTTTTCAAGAATACCTTTTCCTGTCTGTCCTCGTGAGATAATGGGGACGAAAGTCGAGCAAGACAGTAACTGGCCTTCTGAAAAGGATGTCCATGTTTTTTGAATAAAGCTTCTTGTACATTGTTTTCTTGACATCATGTGTAAATGCAAATTGTAATTGGCGGGAAAGTGTGTTGTTTTTAAAAACTGCCCAATGTGATGTCGTCACGTGGTACAATGTCAAACTTGATGTCAAAGTTAGTGTACTTGTAGCATGATTGCTGTTTTTTTCCTTTATATGGTGCAAAGATGTCTCGATGTCACACCAATTGTCAGCAAAAAAATGTGTTACGTCCCACTTTCACCAAATTTAAATTCTCCAAAACCTTTTTTTATCGATAAATGTGAAATATATTAATAAAAAATCATGTACAAGTACACCGGACGTTCACAAGCAAACAAAGTTCAAGTATCAATACAAGTATACCGAGCATACCGTGGTAATCAAGGATCAAGAACAATACAAATACACTGGGTATACCCGGGCAAACAAATGAGAAAATATACAAACGACAATGATCTAACGACCTAGCACCAAAGACTCAAAATGAATTAAATCATACGGATACAAAGAAAACAAAATTTTGTATACGTGTGTTTTAATCCGTCTAACGCTATCAACTTGCATTCTAAGATCATAAAAAAAAAAATTATGTTGCGTGCCATCCATAGGTGGTAAACGGTGCTATCAAGAACAATGCTCTTAACCTTACTTTGCCAAAGATGTCCCTCAAGCCTCATTTTTAGTCTACTTCAATGCACTCGATAATATCGACATAGATTTTCTAATGCCAAGTCAAACACAAACCTTTTCCCAAACGGAGGCACTAAATTGACACGTGAAGAAAATGTGTTGTTCCGTCTCGATACCAATTCCACACAAACTGCAAGTTTGGTCAATCTCCAAGTGTTTTAAGCTTATTCTTAGTAAGCAACTTGGACTTAGCACCTAGCCATATGATAAAAGCATGCTTAAGAGTGATGGAAGCATTCTAAACAATTGCTGCCCATGCTGTCTTCGGCCCTTTCAACCTGAAATGTTCATAGGCCGCTGCAATATTAAAGCTACTTGAGGTTACCCATTCTGCCAGCTTGCGTGCACCTGCTGTGTTCGTTTAGGCTGGTTGCTTGCCTATGTCCGTCTGCCAACCTATTAGCGTCTGTCCGACTGCACCTGTTCAGGTTGTGAAATATGTCAGCGTAACTCCAACAACTTTTTGAACAGCCGAGAGTCTTACTCATCGTGTACTCCCAAACATCCAACCTACGCAAAAAAATCTGATGAACCCACCTAACTCAAAGAGTGTCCTTGTTATGAATGGTCCAAAGGGTTTTAGCAAGAAGTGTCGAGTTCCAACATTTGATTGTCTTGAAATCCAAGGCCTCCCTCATGTTTCGGCAAGTAAACACTACTCCATGCAACCAATGGCTTCCTCCGTCCCCAAAGGAAATTACGACAAATAGACACAATCTTAGATACAATCTTGGCCGGAATAGGAAGAATGGAAAGTCAAAATCATTCAACACCTTGAAGCATGGTCCTCACAAGTTCCACCCTTCCCGCATAGGATAAAGTTACCCTAGACCATGCTCCAACATAGGTAGAAATTTTGTTAGTAAATGAGTCATAAGAGCTTACTTTCAACTTTTCCGCCGCTGGTAGTATTCTCAAGTAACGAAATGGCATGGAACCCTTTGCCATGTTAGTTAATTGGTGTATGTCCTCCAACTCTTGTCCATGGATGCCAGTTGTATACAAGTTAGACTTGTTCACATTAATCCTAAATCCCGAAATGTTTCCAAATTTGGACAAACACTCCATCAAGATACCAACCGAGATAATATCCCCCTTGCAAATAGCATCGAGTCATCCGCAAAAACTAAATGAGTGATCTTCAATTGACCACATTTAGGATGATAGTTAAACTCACTATCCCTGGTAGCTACCTTAAACATCCTTCAAAAATATTAAAGGCAAATAACAAAGAAAAATGGAGATAAAGGATCATCTTGACGAAGTCCCCTCCCCTTAAATAATATATAAAGGCCACCATTAAACACTATGGAATAATTTGGTGTGGTAATGAATTACATCACCCATCCGACGAACTTTGTAGAAAAACCAAGGCCTTCAAGCACACTTCTAAGAAAATCCTAATTAATCGAATTATATGCCTTCCTAAAATCAATTTTAAGAAAACGTCTAGGATCAACCTTTTTAAGGTTGTATTGCCTCAAAAGCTCTTGAGCGAGATGAATGTTCTCCGCCATGCTTCTACCTTCCACAAATGCGGCTGGTGCTTGATCAATAATTGAACCAAGAATAGGACCCAATCGAGAGGCAAGGATCTTAGTAATAACCTTATAAAGCACATCGTAACATGCAATCGGCATATAATCGCCAACGGAATTTGAATGATTCACCTTGGGAACTAAAGCAATGATCGTGTGATTTTTGTTTGCTTTATGAGCGAACTAGAATTAAAGAATTCCATGACCGCCTCCATAAAATCTCTTCTGCCTTCTTAAAGAAATAAGATGAGAATCCATCCGGCCCGTGATTTGTCGTCTCCAATAGAAAATAATGCATTGTTAATTTCTTGCTCCGAAATGTCCCTAGTTAATGCCAAAGCATGCTCATCCGATAACATAGATCCACCCGTCGTGATCACAATGTCAATAGGCTGCCCCGGACTGAGAGCCTATAGCCTTGCTGAGCTCTTGCAGACGACTGGAGTTGCAACTATCGTTACTAACCAACTTGAATTATCATAGATAAGCCATTTTGAAACCAAATTAAACTTTGGGAGTAGTCCATGCACAGCTTCCCTCCCTTGTGAAATCATTACAATTATAGTATTATTATTTGTATTGATTCTGTCCATGCAAACTCAGAAACAATGAATACATAATACCAGTTTCAACAAGAAGCAAAACCAAAGAGCTCTGTATAAATACTACTTTGAAACTGTACAAGTACAAAAAATAAAAAAGAGTTTGAAGAACAAGAAACAAATCTATCTTAAGTTTTAAGAACTATTGATTCATCCAGTTATTGAAGGGTCACTTCTCTTGTTCGACGATGACTGAAGATCAAGCAATTCGAGCTCCTTTTGTCGAATAAGAAAGACCATTCTTTCATTTTCCAGCTTCAATCTCTCATTTGACAGCTTTTCTCTCTCCATCTCCCTTTCCTTCTTGGCACTGAATTTCAACCATTTTAGTCTCTGTTTCTCAATCTCGAATGCTTGGCTTTGGAAACCAAAATGCTCCTCCTCCAATTGCATCGACCTCCTTTCCATCCATTGTCGTTTTTCCGAGGGACTTCTTGTTCCATCTTGCAACATATTTGTCAATTCAGTACTGAATTGTTGAATCATAGGTGAATGAAACAATCCCTTTTTGAGTCTCTTCCTCGATGATTGTTCATCCGGGTCATCATCGTTCTCATCTTCTTCATCATCATCGTCGTCATCATCTTCGTCACTATCCTCCTCGTCATATTCTTCTTCAATGCCAACCCCCTTTCCCACTTTAGATCCCTTTATTTTTGCCGACGAGTGTAAACACCTTTGTTGCTGCGACTGAGACGGCTCTGCCAGTGAATCTTGAGCACCACCACTTCCACCATCACCACCACCACCGTGAGTTCCATGACCACAACTATTATGATAAGCACACATCTCTTTGAAAAACAAATGCTTTGAATTCAGCAATTTCTTCACTTCTTCCTTCATTTTCATCGACAGATTGTCCATAGTATCAAGCAAACTTTGATTCTCCACCACTCGACACGCAGTTCCCTTGCCAACGATATCATTAACCCTCTTGTACCTCTTGTTTAAATCATTAAACTTGTCTTCACACTGCTGTGGAGACACATAAAACCCTTTCTCCATCATAGCCCGAGACACAGATTTCCATTTCCCTTTCTTCTGCAAAACCGTACCACCCTTCTTTTTATCATTGCCTTCAGACCCAACTTCATCTCCAATATAATACACTACCATTATCAACAATCTCACCATATTATCAGTCCATTTCATTCTTTGCCAAGGAGACATTTTCGGCTTCCCATCATCAGCATTGTTTTCAGCGGTGAAACCATGCTCATCGTCATCACTAAATGTTAAGCTTGGATTCTTAGCTTTTGCAGCATGTGGGTACCCTTGTTTCCCCGACTGCTGAGTTTCTGAGTGGTAATCGCCGCCATAGCCAACCGTGGAGTGTTGATGCGGCGGCGGTAAGCGGTGCTGAAGTGACATTTCTAGTCCTAACATTCCTGAATTTGAACTAGAATACATTCCCCCAGGAATGGCATTAGATTCCCTACAATTTCAAAAAATAAAAGAAGACGAAGCCTATTAACATCTGTGTACATAAAATAATGTGAAACTAACCAAGAAGATACTAGAAAAGAACTACGTAAGGTAAATTGGTACCCAGTTCTTGTCTTCTCCAGATGATTATAAGAACAAAATCAAGAAACAAGAATTCCCTCAAAAAATTGAATAGGGGCAGAAATTCTTTATATTGATCAGTATTTACAGCATCACGATCCTTCTTCTGTCCATATATATACATAACAGAGAACAAGAACATATATTTATTTGAAGTAAAGACGAGCTATGCAAAAGTGGATTAGGTATAAAAACAACTTGCGTGTTAAGATGTAGGACACGAGAAGAGCAGCTGGTTTTAGCTACAGAAAAAACAGCCCATGGTTTTACTTTTTCCTTACCGAGGAGCTGCATGTTGTGGGTAGAGAAAGGGAGAGAGAGAGAGAGTCCCACAGGATTGTGCAAAACTGTCATCTGTATTCAGATAGGATTTTGGAGTAATAAAATCCAATGGAGTCATCCAACTTGGAACCAAATTTTATTTTAGGCTAATTAGTACAAAACGTCCATACTTTTGGGATGAATTTCGGAAACCGTCCCTACCTTTCATTTCTTGGCATTTATGCCCTTACCTTTGGGATTTTGGTGCGCTGAACATCCTTTTCACTGTTTTTTGACGATTTTACCCTCCATTCAATTTAGACGCAAAGAAAAGAAAAGAAAAACAATCCAATAAATTGCAACTATAGGCCCAAACTTTTTAAAAAGTGCAAATAACCCATTATACTTTACCTTCTTCCCAAAACTCACCCTCATCCTATCGCCGCATGCCGGCCATTTTCAGGCCACCGTGGCCACCAAATATTTGCACCAACACCATCTCCTCATCAACAACTAACATTCCTACACAAATTTCAACCTAAAAAAACAACAAAATCGAACCAAAATTCGGCCAAAAAACAGCCTTCACGCACTACCATCCACCCCATCTCTGTCCTGTCTCCATACCATTCACGTGCGAAGGTCACAACAATAGTAAGATACTGACTTGGGCAACTTCAGCAGTTCCTGGGAACCTAATATAGCCAGCAATCCACTTCCAAATGCCACCAGAACTTTGTCCCTGGACAGTTGAAGCGAGCTCCATTTCATGTTCAAAAGCATAGTTTTCTCTCCTAAGTGCCTGAACCTCCTCTTCTATGGATGGCATTGACTCCAAAATCTTCTGTACCTCTGCCATTTGTGCCTGACGATTCCATTACAGATGGGTAAACACCAAATATTGGTTAAAAAAAAGACCCTCTGCTTCTGCGGGTAATTATACAGGTTTTGAATCAAGAAAGAAAAGGAAGAAAATTCATGGACCGACCAATTTCGACCCAGCATGTTCGTGCACATTTCGCCCAAATTGTTGATGACCCATGAGTGGAATAGCTGTGCCATGAAGAGAGTATGCTAGCCCAGGTGGTCCGAGATCATAGGGACCACCACCGTCGCCGGAATTTGGGTTTTCCGGCCGTGAACACGTTTCGAAAAACTGCAGATTTTAATTTTCTTTGTTATTTGATGTAATTGGAACATGAATGGATGCGTCTAGGTGAGCTTGAGGGACCTGTGGAGTGTAATTAACATGGGCATCCATGGATTGGGTCGAAATTGGAAGAAAACCGTGCGTGAATGTTGTTTTTTTGGCTGAATTTTGGTTCGAGTTTGATGTATTTTGGGGTTTAAATTTGTGTTGGTACGTTAGGGGTTGATGAGGAGATGGTGTTGGTGCAAAAATCCGATGACCATGGTGGCCTGAAAATGACCGGTAGGCAACGATAGGGTGGGGGTGAGTTTTGGGAAGAAGGTGAAGTTTAATGGGTTATTTGGACTTTTTAAAAAGTTTGGACATATAGTTGCAATTTATTGAATTGTTTTTCTTTTCTTTTCTTTGTGTCTAAATTGAATGGAGGGTAAAATCGTCAAAAAACAGTGAAAATGATGTTCAGCGCACCGAAATCCCAAAGGTAAAGGCATAAATGCCAAGAAATGAAAAGTAAGGACGGTTTCCAAAATTCACCCCAAAGGTAGGGACGTTTTATGCTAATTAGCCTTTATTTTAAAATCACTTTTTCTTTTTTCTCTTTTCTCTTTTCAGACTCGTCCCGGAATTTTAAATTTTGTTTTGTGGTCATATATGAAGATTCAAAAAATTTAACTCCATTTCCTATATGAACTTTTACATGGATTATATATGCATTAATGAAAACTAATGTAAACTAATGTCAAGTGGTAAGAATAATTCTTATCCGATGACCTTTGTTTGAGTCCCTTTTTGGGAGGTGAAATCCTTTGATCAATTTTTAAAAAAAATAAAAAGCACTCTACATAAGAAAATATGTTTGTGACATAGAAGGGACCCTAAGTTTGGTGATGAAATCGTTATTGGTGATTAAATTGAAAGGACATTGAAACGTTTGTGATAAATTTGGAACAGATAAAGTAGAGTGACTAAAATGAAAATTTACTCAAATTTGGGTGGCCTCCAGTGTTTTTAATGTGGCCATCACTGGGAATGAATCTAAGCCGTTGGCTAAGATTCAGGGCTATCAAATGGTAATGAAGGGTAAATAAGGCTCCGTTTGATACACCATATTTTCCATGAAATATTTTCATTTTCCAACTTTTGTATTGTTTGATAGGTAAAATTTTCTCAGGAAAATATTTTTCAACTTTCCAAAATTTCCACCTTTTGATGAAAACAAATTCTTGATGTTTTGGTTGGTAAATATTTTCCTTTTTTTTTTGTGTCAATTGGAAAAATTTTTTGACACAATGGTAAAAAAAATTTATCACTTTTATTGACAATTTTCATACAAAACAAAGTCAAACGAATGATATTTGGTATGATAAATTTTTTTTCAAATTTTTTTTTTGACAATTGGAACAAATTCTAGACCAATGGTAGAAAAAATTATCACTTTAATGGACAATTTTCATAAAAAACGAAGTCAAACGGACAACAAACTTTCAACATTTTTCATGAAAAATTATACTAATTAAACACAATTAATTACAATTCTCAATAAAACAATTTCTAAGTAAATCAATTCCTTGCAAAACATTTTCTTCCCACCTATTTTTCACATTTGCAATCTAACAGACCCTAAGTGTAGATGATTTTCAGTTTTTGTTGACGTGGATTTTGGTCCCGATAAAGATGCACGGTCGCACAACACAAGTTCAACTAGTACGTTTGGGTCAATTTTGTCGTTTTCGTGTGGGGCTTTTACATTTGTCATAGATTATAGATTTTTATTAGGTAATTGGTGTAAAACGTCCCTACCTACGACGAGTTTTGTGGAAAACGTCCAAACGTTTGATTTTTTGGTGCATAACGTCCCTACTTTTTCATTTTCTTGAGCAAAACGTCATTTTCACCAATTTTTAACATAAAATGACAAATATACCCTCATATTTAAATAAAACAAAACAAAAGAAAAGAAAAATAAAGAACAAATTGCCCAAACTTTTTAAAAAGTGCAAATAACATACCAAACTTCACCTTCTTCCCAAAACTCACCCCCGTCCCATTGCCGCCTGCCGGCCATTCTCAGCCATCTTCCGGCCACCAAAGAAAGCCAAAAATATACCCACCATTGTGAGTCCACCCACCGTTGTGACTCCACCTGCCATTTTAAGTCCTCCAACCATGCCATTGACCATGGAACTCCCATTACCCCAATCGACCCTGGAAGTCCATCGATGCCATCACCTCCATCTGGCGGCGAGCATAGAACCCCAACACCTTCTCCTTTGGTGGGTGGAGTCACAACACCTTCTACTCGAATTCTAATCGTCTAAAATTCAAAAATTTCCAGTTTTCTAGGACAACCCAACTGGTATTCTTGGTTTTTCTTTAGTGGGTTGTCCCTAATTTTCTTATAAACGTATTTCTCGGCTGAATTTTGTGCTAAAATAAGAATGGTGGGGGCTTGCTCCGTTGTGGGTTCATCAATGGTTGATTCTCATACTTGTTCATGCCCGAGTTTGGATGTGATGCCTTCAAGCAATTTGAGGAGGGGAGAATGGATTTTTCCTAGGAATTCAATGGGTAGAAAGCATAGGCCTCGCCCAGGTTCATTGGATTTGAGCAGTTCATTTCTTGATTATTCTTCAGTGAAGGCTCTTTCAGTCACCAAGAATTTGAAAAAACAAAGGAAAATAAGGAGTGTGATTGTGGATGAATTGGCTGGATAGTATGAAGACAATTTTGGAGATGTTACCTCTGTAAGAAATTTACAATTATCTTTCCATCTTTTATATAATTTTGGGGATTTCTGTATGAAATATTGCAGTAGCCTTTTATCTTTATTACATGATTTAAACTTGTAGAATTTGCTAGCAGGGGGTAGAACTACCTAAGATGTAGCCTGTTGTAGTTTCTTTAGACTGGATCTAGTGATAGAACATATTGGAGTGATGAAAAAGGATTAATCACTAAAATGGTAGGTGTATTTTTGGCTTTCTTTGGTACCCGGAAGATGGCTGAAAATGGCTGGCAGGCAATGGTGCGACGGGGGTGAGTTTTGGGAAGAATGTGAAGTTTGATGGGTTATTTGCACTTTTTAAAAAGTTTGGGCAATTTGTTCTTTATTTTTCTTTTCTTTTGTTTTGTTTTATTTAAATATGAGAGTATATTGATCATTTTATGTAAAAAAAAAATGGGTGAAAATGACGTTTTGAGCAAGAAAATGCAAAGGTAGGGACGTTGTGCACCAAAAAATCAAACGTATGGACGTTTTCCACAAAACCCGTCATAGGTAGGGACGTTTTGCGGCAAATACCCATTTTTATTAGAATAGATTTTATGAAAAATGAATTTTTGAAAAATGTGCCATTAAAAAAACAAAAATATTATAAATTCACATATAAAATTATATTATTATTATAAATTCTAATAATGGATGTAACACATT